TTTATTAGCCAACATGTATTGAAAAGTAATTGCAAACTCTCCTTCCTTATTAAACATTTATATGATTTATATGTGAAATACATTTTACGTATGCTTTTTGTTTGGTTATATAATATACACAAAAAACTAGAAATTATTTTTTAGGTCATAAATTTCCGCATTTTTCATTATGATAACTACAATATTAATATAATTTTTTATATGAAATCAAATAAATATAATACAATTACATAATAATTATGTTTTTTATTATTATCGTAACAGATCTGAACTTACAGTAAGCGAAATCATTTACGACTAGTTTTACGATTCGGTTATTCATATGTAAAAATAAAAAGTGTTTTAAAACCTTTTATTAAATAAATAAATAATAAAATATTTTATTATTTGGAAAAATGCATTAAAATTTTTATTTTAAAAATTGAATTAATAGAAAAATCATAATTGGAGTAAAAACTGGATAAACATTATTTTATAGAAATGAAAATTTTAATCATTAAAACCAGACATAGATTTTAAATAATGGTGAAAATTGTTGAGCATTTAGTTGACACATTTACCATCTTTACATCCATTAGGACAGGCGTCTTCCACTTGCAGTTTGCTTGACCTAAACATCGGACACTTGTATACAATGTTAGGCTTACATCCCGGGCCCACCAGATCTGATCCGCAATACTTCTTCCGTCGACTGTTATTATCGCCACAATTGCAGCGAAGGTTTTGAAAGCATGGGTTGTCTGTCAATCAATCATTGATTAATTTTGTTTCATTTACTTAAAAATAAATCAATATTCATTTAATACATTTCAACCAAATATTTTAAATTAAAACATTTAAATTGATTATTAAAACAGATGTAATAAGTAAAGTTACCTTTATTTTCTTTAGTATTGCACGGATAGCCCTTACCCTCAGTACATGCCCTCAACTCGTATGCAGTCTTTCTCATATTACTTTTGCCACAAAAGTATATCAGATCTTGACTACAATTACTTGCTTCTGAGCCCACATTTAATTCATTACCGCAATACTCGCCAACAAATTTAGCCGTACATAAGCACTCCTGACCCACAGTCTCGGGTATTGCCACTAATAGTAACCCGATATATATTGAAACCAATACTTCCACTGTCTTCAAAATATTTATTTTCATCTCAATAATAAAACTTTAAATAATATTTCTATTATTAGATGATTAATATATTTTATGCAAATTTAATTAAATTCCTCACAACTACTGGAAATTCAATTTATTTGTTAGTTTATACGCAAAGCATAGGATTCTCCACTATAAATAGCAAGTAAATTGAGTTTGAATTGAATTTTATTATTCATTTGTTTTCTTATACATGAATTATCGCAACAAAAACAGGAAAGCATTTCATTTACAATAAGAAAACGGATTTCAATTGATTTAAAATATAAGGAAAGTTTGAAAATTAAATTTACATTTTTGATTACAAACGAGAATTCTGCTAATTTCTAAAATGATTAATAACTTTCGTTTTAATAATTTCATTGTTAAATGTATTTTGAATATAAAATAATGTTTTAATCGATTCAACGCCTCATTGATTATGATTTGAATACAAAGCACTCACGCATTATTCAAATTAAATTTTGAGCTCATCTTTTATTTGTTTTCAAATAATATCAAAACCTATGCATAATATATACCTTTCAACGCAAACTACCGGTTATTAACTATTTAATAACAAAAAACACATAAATTTTAAATAATATATTTTTGTATACACTTTAATATTGTATTAAATAATAACTTTTTGAAAACTCGAATAATAAAAGTGCACTCAATTTATGTTTATTCTTGCATTCAATTTACTAAATATGAAAGTTTTTATTCATTTAATTCTCATTTATTGAAGCCACAATTGAAATTAAAAATTTTCCCAAAAAATTCAATTAATAGATTTGTTTAAATCTCATTATATAATTGAAACCACAATAAATTTGAATAAAACTCATTTTATTAAATAAAGTAATAATTGATAAATAACTTGAACAATAAAAATGCGATTACATTATTAATAAAAATATGTTATTCCTTAATAAATATCATTATTTAACAAATGCTTACAATAGTAGGAAAACAGTGTTTAACTAAATCTATTATTGATATTATAATTATGTTTTCATTTTCATATGTTTTCAAAAATAGGTTTACATTTCCAGGCATTATATGATTGAATGCTTTCACAACTTCTAACACAAAAACAAATCTACAAAAAGGAAATACAGTTAACACTACCTTTCATTAGGATTTAGTAAATCAGTAAATCTTTTTTAATATATGAACTAATTTTGTATATATTATACATACATATATTGAGAACATATTAGATATTAATCTAATTTTAAAATGTATTTAATTAAGTGTTCAATATTTGGCAGTAATAACAGGATTAATGGGAACACAAATCGTTATATAATCAGTGAATTCACGACTC